GTTTGGTGTTCGGCTGAGTTCTTTATCTCTTCATTTGATGTTCTAGGGTTTCAGGATTGTTGATTCTCTGTTTGGCTTAGTTTTTCAGATCTTTGTTGTGGAGGGACGGCGTGGTGTTTCTGCCTAGAGCGCCATCTTGCCGGAAGTCCTCCTCCCAGGCTTTTGGCTTACTTATTGTTTGCCCCCAACTGTAATCTTTTGACCCAGGTGGCAGTTGCTTGTCTCTTTGTCTTTCAATATTTTTGAGGAGTGCCTTTTGAGAGAATTCTGAGTTAGGTGAAACAAAGGCAAACACCTTGCATCAGTCCTTCAGGGAAACCCCAGACAGGTCAAAACAGACAAATGCAATTCATTGGGAACAAAGTCTGCTCTACTATCTCAAGAACCAGGTACCTACAGTAGGAACATGTGCTGTTGTCTTCAAGACCGTCTCTGTACTGATGATGGAGATGGGACAGACTAAGTTAAAATAGCACAAAGTTCTCTTACCATGTTTAAATCACCTTTTTCTTGATTCAGCATTCATTTGATTGCTGTAAACCTTTGACTTTTTCAGTTTTAATAGAGTTGATTCACCCAGGTTTTGTCCATTTTTTTCAGTTTTTTTTTTTTCTAGAAGGACAGGTGATTACACTCTCCTTCTCTGTCATTTTTTGCTGATTTCTGTCTCTCTTCACTTTTGAGTACATCTTCCTAGAGGACCCAAGTCATATTTTACATCATTTCTCCAGAGAGAGGCATATTTTCTTTATTGTAGTGTTCAATTTAGATAGCAGGGTTTTTCCCTTTAACTCAGTTCTTTAATGATTTTATAACTGGGGTTGCTAATGTTTCAAGATGGTTGAAAAATCTTGCAAATTAATTGGTGCTGTCACAAATCTTCTCACTGTAGTTTATCGTTCAAATATCTATAGGTAGCTTTATCAAATGCTTTTATTGAGGACTTAATATAGGCCTGGTATCATGCTATGGGATAGTAGTTAAGAGCTACGGCTGCTAACCAAAACGTCGGTAGTTCGAATCCACCAGGCACCCCTTGGAAACTCTATGGGGCAGTTCTACTCTGTCCTATAGGGTCGCTGTGAGTTGGAATTGACTTGATGGCAATGGGTTTGGTTTTTTTTGGTTTATCGTGTTATGTGCTTTTTGTGGTTATCTTATTTAAGATGCTCAGTAATCCCAGGAGTTAGATAGTATTATGATTCCAATTTTACAGATAAAAAAAGCAAAGCCTAGAGAAATCAAGTAATTTACTCATGATCATTACTATGACTAGGTAGTGGAACTCTGAGGTCTTAAGCATTATTTACTATTTGCTTGAAAGGAATCGAATTTCCAGAATCTTCCCCCCCCCCCACTCCATCTTCTTTCCCATTTTTATTTCTTTTCTTAATTTTATTGTCATTTCAACCGCGATTCTCAAGAATGCAGAAATAAACCAACAAACTAACAGAAACCACTGAAAAGAATAAACTACAACAAAAGATTAGCAGTAGTAGTGAATTCAGTTTGGAAGAGAATGCTATGTGTGCATGAGGTAAGAGTGAGTGCGGTAGTTTCTCCATTTCCAGAAGAAAATTCTAGTGATAATTGGTTGAAGACTAACCTTAATATTTAGAAACATGGGAAACAGACACTCATTACTAAGAGTCTATTTATGGCAGTTCCTATATATATTTTTTAAAAACTATTTTAATGCGTCAAATCGTGCTTCTAAGTGATTTCAAGGCACTCTGTTAAAGATGCATGTTTGAATAAAATTGTTTAATGAAATGTAAATGTGGAAAAGTAATATTTATAAATTAGCAAGTTACATTATTTTAAATATTGTCTGAATTGGTGAATTAAATGTTAGAAGTAGAAAAAAATCTTAAGAATATAAATGTGCACATCGTTCTATTCCTCCCACCATCAACCAAGGCAGAGAAAGTATTAGAAATTTTTTTAGCTTCTGGAAATCCAACCTGTCTCCTTCTATTGCTGTAATTTCTGCCAGCCTGTAAGTGTCAAAACCATGAAAATGACTTCAGGGAACTGCAAGCTCGCCATAAGGGGATGTAATCCAGGAAAGATAAATTTTTTCAGAGAAAGAGAGGAAAAGTCCAGACCAGTGTTAGTAGAAACACCCAGTTTGAACTCTTACTGGTCGATGATGCAGTAAAGAGCTTGCTCCAAAATATAGATCAACACACAGCTTCTTTTACCAAGGAAGTCTTGCCATGAAAAGCAAAAGTCAGTTAAACTAAACAATGTGCTTAGTAACTGGGTTGATTTACATTCTGGGGCAAGCTCCTTTCTCATTACAGGCTGGTAACAAACTATTTGTGGAAGGGTATTGTTCTGAGGACCACAATTTGAAACTCCACTAAAAAGGTGGTAAGGAGATTTTTAAAGAGCATACACCCACAAGGACAAAGAACAGAACAGCAAGAAGAAAATTTCAGAAACTGGAAAGTCTCACTTTCCTACCTCTTGTTGCACAAGGCAGTTACTTTTATCTTTTAACCTGTATCTTCTGATAATTACCTTCATATTCCCAGATAATAAGCTTATACTCGTCTCTTGATTTGTTAGCTTTACAGAATATTTGACTTCTCAGTGTGGCTGTTGAGAATTCCTTTCTCTCCTCCATCGCCTCAGTAGAATTACAGTTTTCAATTAAAGCAATACGTAGTATTACACCATGCACCATGTGACTATAAATATTGTTCACTGCTGAGTCAAGTAACGTACAATGATTACCTGCCCTCATGGAGATTTTTATTTTCTTTGAGTTAATTATTTCAGTTTCTTTCATTTGCTTAAGTTTTTACGTACGTACTGATTATTTGTTCCTAATGCCTCACCTTGTCTGTTAAATGCCTGGCAAAAATAGTTTTAAGCTTTCAAGCGCACCAAATAATCCATCAGTTCCATTTTTTTTTTTCTTTCCTAGACCTCACTCCTCGTCATTCTGTCCTCTTGCTCTAATCTGTTTAACTGGCTCTCTAGCCCAGTTACCATGCTGGGACTTTCGTTGGCCGTTCTGGTTTTGGGATTGTTTTGCTAATGTGAATATAATTAGAATGAGGAAGCATTAATATTTTAAAGATAATCCTAAATTATTAATGTATACTGCTTATATGTCCTGAATTCACCAGCCTGTGAGTTCACATAAAATGAGATCGCATTTGCTTTTGATGCCAAAATTATAATAGTTCAAATCTTTACAGTTTGAATGCAAGATCTCAGTATCACTAACTTTGCCAAGTACCCTCTGAGTTCTTCTGGAGTCCTCAGAAGGGGTGCACTCATATTTATCTGCTGGTTATCGTTAGGTGTTTGCCATGTTCTTCCTTTTCTGTTATCGTCCCCTGGTCAATGTGTATTGCCCTGGATGCTATTTGAAGGTCACTGCTGATGATATCCCTCATAAGATGGATGTTATATTTGCTAAGGTTGTTGTCTTCTGATGTTGCCACTTCCAAGAATACCTGAGGAGTAGTAGGCTTGACAGGGCAGAGGGAACTAGTGAGGATGACCCATTCCCAAAGCCCATATCACTTTTCCCCTGTTCCTCTAAGTCCAGAGTCTCAAAAAGTCTCTCAACAAGAAAATCTTTTTCAGCTTCTCCTTTTTGTAATTTCCAGCTTTTATCTCCCTATCACCACTACCTCCAAACCAATAACAATCAACAGTCACAACCAACTGCTAAGCATCCATTTCAATACGGGCAACACACAAGCTAGAAAGCTCAGACACATAGCTCAACCAGATAATTTATGACTAGACCAGAATGCACATTTATCTTCTAGTATTTTCTCAAACCAGAGAAATATCTTTAAAGTGAGATGATGTCTCCATGCTGAAGATAGAAAACTACCTGCAACTTTTAAATGACAGATCTGTTTTTTGGCTAGAGAAGATTTCAAAAACCTTAGGGTCTAATCTCAATTCAAGTGCCTTGTTGTGAATCTTTAAATATGTTCATATTCTTTAAGAAAAATTGCCCTTGGGACAACTTGGAAACTTCTAGAGATATCTGGAAGTAAGGAAATGGAATAGAAATATTAAATATTTCAGACTTTTCACTAATTTGACTGGCCTTTGGTCTAAAATTTGTCTAACTTGCTGCGTTAGGATGTTCAAAGAATACTTAAAGGTGAAAGTGCCATCAACAAGGAGATATGCAAGCAGACACAATAGAGAAAAGAGTTTTTCTTACGGAGTTTAAAGTACCATGATGATGATCTTTCTGATAAGATGAGGCGATACTATTGCAGGAAGAAATTTCGGGGCATAGTGCCCAAGACCCTTCGTCATCTTCCCTTGCCTGCCTGTCCAGTGCCATTTTCAGGCACTGCATTTCTCTCCCTCTTTAATGTTCCAGTGATCTCCATTTAGTGGATGAGGATGATTGGGTTTACAATTTGCCCAACTAGGCAGAGGTAGTGTAGTGGTTAAGAGCTACAGCTGCTAACTAGAAGGTTGGCAGTTTGAATCCACCAGCTGCTCCTTGGAAACCCTATGGGGCAGTTCTACTCTGTCCGGTAGGGTCACTATGAGTCGGAATCAACTCATCGGCAATGGATTTGGGTTTTTGGTTTTAGTCAGAGGCGGAGCCAGGATTTTAACTCAGGTCAATTTGACTTCAAAACTAGTGGCTCTTTCATACTTACCACATTACCACCTGTCATCTTGGATAGGTACAGAGATGCCTGAGGGTCCTTCTTTTGCAAAGAAGAGGGGCTGATCTGGGGAAGTACCCAGCCATGTGGATTATCTGGGATTTCTCTATCATGTATAATGGTTCCCTGGTGATCCACACTGTATGTTGAAGGAGGTCCAAGAGAGGATCCCCTGTGCATGCAAACCTAATCTGAAATTTCACTATTCCTCTCCTGTCTTCTAGTGCCTTTTCTTCTATCCCTTTTTTGGAAAGAAGCAAAGTAGCTGGTTGCTGATCCAGCACTCAGCTTTCCATAAACTATCTAAATGGCAGTCCCGCCTTACCTTTCCTATGACATCTGTTACCAGTTTGAGGGCCAGAGGATCATGAACCAACGAGTCCGTGTAAAAGGAACCAAGGTATTTCTTTGGGTTGATTGGATTGTCTTGGGCACACAGATCTGGGCGCATGCTGAATCCATGGGAGATTCTTCCCAATGTGAAGGGGAAGGCACCACCTGCAAGGAAAACTCATTTCTGAGGGGCTGGTATCGATTAGAAGGAGCCCTGGTGGTGCAGTGATTAAGAGCTATGGCTGCTAACCAAGAGGTCAGCAGTTTGAATCCACCAAGCGCTCCTTGGAACCCTTATGGGGCAGTTCTACTCTGTCCTATAGGATCACTATGAGTCAGAATCGACTTGATGGCAAGGGGTTTGGTTTTTTGGTTTGTTATTGATTGGAAAGGATTCTTTTCAGTTCCCGTGTTGGATGCAAGGAGAGGTTACTGTAGCCCATTCGATTAAAAATACTTACAAAGGACCTAGTGGGTTCCAAATGCTGGGAGAAGACCCAGAAAAAATGACATAAACTTGTCTAGGAATTCAGCCATAAGGAATTTATTGTAACGAGATGACAAGTGAGTAAAGGTATATGGTCAAGATTTTCAAGTGTAGTATGGGGATAACAGCAAACTATAGACATCTTATTAGTTGGCAAATATCTAAATAATGATGAAATATCCATAAAATGTCATGCATGAAGCCATCAAAAATAATGGCATTAATATGTTTATTGACATATCTTTTATATGCTGGTTAGAGAACAGCAGGTATAATTTGATTGTGTGTGTGTCCAAGAGTCACAAACTTACATACCTATAGAGACCTGGCAGGCAATGAAAGTCAACGAAATAGTTCTATCTGTAAACAATAGGGAACAATAGGGACTATGGCAAACTGGAAAGCTTATAGTCTGACTAGAGGGATTTAAATAAAAACAAAACAAAAACTTTGCCAACCGAACGAACTTAACCTGCAAAAATGGAATTTGGTCCTTGAACCATCATATCCTTCATGACTAGAATGATGGCTGGAAGGGTAGAATCTTACCTCCATGTGTAAAACACACTTTCAGTTTAGGAAACTTTGCAAACACTCCACCCATGATCATGGAGCAAATGGCCATGGTCGTCTCTGCTGGCATTCCTGAAAGAGGAAACAGTCACAAGGTGCAGGGCTTGTCACCTGGAGCAACAAGAATCTCAGTGACACTGATGACTAGGGAATGGAAGCTGTCCATAATTGTCAGTGCTAAGAAACAGGGGACTCAGTGCCCCCTGTGCCCTAGCATGGTTTGTTTGTATACACGTAAAGAACCACGTGAATATCCTATTTTGCACTTGCAGATAGAATCATCTAATGGTTAGAACACAGTCAAGAAGCCAGAGGACCTGGCTTTAGTCCTGATTCCTCCAACTTTAGTTTTGGACTCAGTGGAGCAAGTGGAGTGCAGGGAGTCTGGGCTGAACCATAGATCCTCCAATTTTTTGCCTTCTGGCCTTTGACAAGTTATTTAATGTCTCCAAGCCTGGGTTTCTTTGTCTGTAAAATGGGGAAATGTTGCCCATCTTGCAAGGCTATCATGAAGATTCGCAAGATGATGATCTTGGTAAAGTTCCTGGCCAGAACTTTATATTAGAGATGCTACCTCTCTATGCTTCATTTTTCTTATCTGTAAAATGGGGCTAATAATGGTTAATTCGTACCCGTGGGTCATTTTGAGGAATCAGTGGACAGCACCTGGCGCTTAGTAAGTGCTCAGTAAATATAAATTATTATTATTGTTCCTGCCAAATCTTTACTGCCTTTTGAAGCTGAGGTCGAAAATAAATGGGTTAAAATGAATTTGAAGTGCTTTGGGATCCTAGAAGAGCAGCTGGTCCATATCTGATGCCTTCACCCCCATGGAGCCAGTCCTGCTTCCAGACTCTTACATTTCTGCTACTCAGACTATGACTCAGAAACCTCAGGCTGCCCCATATCGGAAGATCTGTGCTTTCTGGGGAAGCCTGACCCTCTGGCTGCTGAATGGGGCCTTCACCCAATGCTCGTTCTTCCCCAGCCCATCACTGTCCCACAGGGGGAGATACCCCTGGTTCCCTGGCCTTCTGAGGAATACTAGCATGTCTGTGTACCTGGGAATTCTAGAAGCATGATGAATTCATATTCTTCTGGGAGTAGCGATAGGCAGATCTTTCTGAAGGCGGGGGAATAGACTGCATCACTTCCTTCTAGTCCTGTGATTCTGTTTTCTATTAATTACTTGAATTGTAACCCCAGAATCCATTCTCCACACAGGCAGCTGTTACGAAATCTTTATAAAGTAAATTGGATCATGGTCCTCCCCTGCTTGAAATCCTCCAATCCTCTAATGGCCAATTATGTCAGAATAAAATTTAAACTCCTTACCATCACCCATAAGACCCTACACAATCTGGTCCCTGCCTTCTTCTCCACCCTCATCTCACACCACTTTGCCCTCATGTCTGCCACATAAGACTTTTTCATTCCTTCACCAAATATTTATTGAGCAGTGAACAAAGGAGACATGGTTCCTGAACTCAAAAACTTATATTCTAGTTGGATAAGTAGACATCAAACAAATAAATAAGATCATTTCAGATAATGAAAGTACTATGAATACAATAAAACAGGATACTGTGAAATTGAGTGACATAGGTTGTCAGGAAAGGCTTCTCTGAGGAGGTAACTTCTGAATGGATGACCTGAATAACAAGAGGGAGCCAAACAAAACCCATTGCCACTGAGTCAACTCTGACTCATGGCGACCCCTTGTGTTTCAGAGTAGAACTGTGCTCCATAGGGCTTTCCATGGCTGCAGTCTTTCAGAAATAGATCACTAGGTCTTTCTTCTGAGGTACGGCTAGGTGGATTTGAACCACCGACATATTGGTTAGTAGCTGAGCACAAACCATTTGTGCCACCCAGGGACCTTAAGAAGGAGCCAGCCACCTGCAAAATCTAAAGAAGAGATTTTAGGGCAGAGAAAATAGCTAGGACAAAGGACCCAAGGAAGCATGAGCTGTGTTGCTCAAGGAATAGAAACAAAGATGTTCATGACAGCATTGTTTGGAATAACAAAACAGCCCATCAATAAGGGGCAGATTAAATAAATAAAGGTGCAGTCACATAGTGGAATATTATGCAGCCATTAAAAAGAATGAGGCAGGTGTTCGAAATAATCTCCAAGGAAAGAACAGTGTATATAGTTTGATATCAATTGTATAAAAAGAAAAAAAAATGTATACACAAAGTATGTTTCTATAGATTTATAGAATATATTCCAAAGTGTAAACAAGATACAAGGAGTGATTGATTGATTCTGAGGAGGGGAAATAGGGGATTTGAGGTTATAGGTGGGAGGGAGTGTTTTTACTCTAATTTTTTGCATGATTTGAATTTTTACCATAGTCTTGTAATAACTATATAAAAAGTTAATCAAATAACTGTTTTTTTTTTTTTTTAAAGAGACTTGGAATAGTTCAAGCAACTTCTAATTGATGGTGATTTGGACTTGGTTCTTAGTAGTGGAAATGGAGGTAGGTGGACGTATTTGGCATGTATTTTGGAGACAGCACCAGATCATTGACTGAATGGGGTGCGGGATGAGTGGAATCTAGGGTTACTCTGAGGTTTCAGGTCTGAGCTGCAGATACATGATATTGCCACTTCCTGAGCTGAGGATGCTGGGGGAGGTGTGGGGAAAGAAATCCAGGGTTTTATCTGGCTGTGAAATTTGACATACCTGTGAGACACTCCTGTGGAGATGTCAGTTGGCTAAACAAGTCTGAAATTTAGGGGAGAGATTAAGGCTGTAGATGAAAATTTTGGAGTTAGTGATATATCATTGGTATTTAGATGAGGTCTCCCAGGGAGAAGGTATAGATTGAGGACAGAGAGGGCATAGGACTTAATCTGGAGACACTCCAACATTTAGTGATCAGGAAGAGGAGAGAGGCCAGCAAAGTAGGCTGGAAAGTCCAGAGAGTGTTTCAGAAAAGAGTTTGGTCACCTCTGTTAAATATTGCCAAGAGGTAAAAAGAAGAGAAGTGACCGTTGAACTTGGCAATGGAATTCATTTGCTTGATCTTGACATTTTTAGTGGAATGATTGGCGAGATGTCTGATTGGGGTGGGTATAGGGTAGGAGGCAAGGGAGAGGAGATGAGCTATAGGTGACATTTTTGAAAAGCTTTGCTGTGGAGGGGAAAAAAACAAAGGACTGAAAGCTGAAGTGAAATGGGAAATGTGAGGTTAAAGGAGTCCCCACCACCACCCTGCCATAGGAGACAGCAGAGCATATCTGTAATACTTCTTGGACAAACAATGCTCCAGGTTTGTTCCTACATGAGGGCTTTTGTACCTGCGGCTCCCTCTGCCCACTCCCATCTTTCCCTGTTCTTTGTACAAGTACAACTCCTCACACTTCCCTTCTGAAAACAAATGCAGGTAGTCCCTGACTTAGATGTATTGAGTTACAACGAACTGCACTTAGGGCCATTGGTGGATTTATTATTTTTTTTGGTGCATCTTATCATTAGTAATATATACTACATAGAGTGTTGCAGCAGATAATTTGCTGATGTTATCATTCTCAGATGTTCACTTACAGATGTTAAATGTTATGATTTACTGTTCAAAACACTGCTATATAGCAGGACTTAAAAGCCTAGTTTACAATGAAATCCATATTGGTGTCAGTGTAGGAAGTCGTAACAAATAGAAAGTTGGCCAGTGTTCAACTCTAACAATGTACAGCAGTTGAACTGTGCATGCACCCAACAGCCCTTACAACTCCACTTCATTGTCACAACACTGATGCCAACTTCGTAGTAATATTCTGCAGTCTGTCCAGAACATTGCATCTTCCTGGGAGGAAGTTATGGGAAAATGCATGCAGGGGATTTGGAAAACATTTCTGAGTTATCTAAACATGCTCCAACCATTTGATCAGGATAATATGATGGAAGAAATAGGTGGAAATATCATCCATATGTCAAGAACACTGAATTCAGAACTTCATGTTGCTGATGTGGAGCAGCTCATAGAAGAAGGGGAACTGACAGATCAGGACTTCAGGGATTTTAAAGAGGAAAGAAATGCTGAAGAAGAAAGAAATGAGGAAGAGGAAGGAGCGAAGTTGTCTAAAAATTTTATGGTGAAAGGATTAACTGAAGTTTTCTCTAAACTAAATCAGGGGCTTCAGTTTCTTCAAAACATGGACCCAAACACTGATCACTTTGCTAAAGTCAATAGGCAGATCCTGGGATTCTGGAAGCAGTGAGATATTACCACAAAATATGTTAAGAAAAAAAGAATTTTCTGACTAGAAATGCTATCCCCATTCCCAGGGATAATCCAGATGATCCAGAACCTTCCACAAGTAGAGTTATCACCGCAACTGACAAAATGCCAACGTTGTCCAGCTCTTTTTCATCATCAGAGTAAATTTTTATGACTTGTGTATTTTTTATGTATGTATTAAAATGTATCTGTAAATTTATATGTAATATTTCCAACCTCAAAGACAGATAAAGATCAGATTATAAATCCGACACTGATAATAAAAGGTAATAATAATCAGAACGTGGAATGTAGGAAGTATGAATCTAGGAAAATTGGAAGTCATCAAAATGAAATGGAATGCATAAACATTTATATCCTAGACATTAGTGAGCTGAAATGGACTGGTATTGGCCATTTTGAATCAATAATATGGTCTACTCTGCCGGGAATGACAAATTGAAGAGGAATGGTGTCGCAATCATGGTCAAAAAGAACATTTCAAGATCTATCCTGAAGTACAACGCCGTCAGTGATAGGATAATATCCATATGCCTACAAGGAAGACCAGTTAATAGGACTAGTATTAAAATTTACACACCAACCACCAATATCAAACATGAGGAAATTGAAGATTTTTACCAATTTCTGCAGTCTGACATTGATCAAACATGCAATCAAGATGCATTGATAATTACTGGTGATTGGAATGCAAAATTTGGAAACAGAGAAGAAGGATTAGTAGTTGGAAAATATGGCCTTGGAGATAGATGCTGGAGATCACATGATAAAATTTTGCAAGACCAGCGATATATTCATTGTGAATACCCTTTTTCAAAAACATAAACAGCAACTCTACACGTGGACCTCACCGGATGGAAAACACAGGAAGCAAATGGACTACATCTGTGGAAAGAAACATGGAGAAGCTCAATATCACCTGTCAGAACAACGCCAGGGGCCAGCTGCAGAACAGACCACCAATTGCTCATATGCAAGTTCAAATTGAAGCTGAAGAAAATTAGAACAAGTCCACATGAGCCAACATGTGACCTTGAGTACATCCCACCTGAATTTGGAGACCGTCTTGAAAATAGATTTGACACATTGAACACTAATGACGGAAGACCGGAGAAGCTGTGGGATGGCATCAAGAACATCATACATGAAGAAACCAAAAGGTCATAAAAAGACAGGAAAGAAAGAAAAGACCAAAATGGATGTCAGCAAAGACTCTGAAACTTGCTCTTGAACATAGAGTAGCTAAAACGAATGGAAGAAATGATGAAGTAAAAAAGCGGAACGGAAGATTTCAAAGGGAAGTTTGAGAAGACAAAGTCAAATATTATAATGAAATGTGCAAAGACCTGGAAGTTAGGAAACCAGAAGGGAAGAACACGCTTGGCATTTCTCAAGATGAAAGAACTGAAGAAAAAATTCAAGCCTCAAGTTGCAATATTGAAGGATCCTATGGACAAAATATTGGACAATACAGGAAGCATCAAAAGCAGATTGAAGGAATACAGAGAATTACGGAAGGAATACACAGCGTCTCTGTAGCAAGAAGAATTGGTTGATGAATGACCATTTCAGGAGATAGCATATGATCAGGAACAGATGGTGCTGAAGGAATTAGTCCAACCTGCACTGAAGACATTGGCAAAAAACAGGTTCTGGGAATTGATGGACTACCAATTGAGATGTTTCAACAAACGGATGCAGTGCTGGAGGTGCTCACTCATCTATGCCAAGAAATCTGGAAGACAGCTACCTGGCCAACTGACTGGAAGAGATCCATATTTGTGCTCATTCCAACAGAATGTGGAAATTATCCAACAATATCATTAATATCACACACAAGTAAAATTTTGCTGAAGATCATTCAAAAGCTGTTGCAGCAGTACATCAACAGGGAAATTCCAGAAGTTCAAGCCAGATTCAGGAGAGGACGCAGAATGAGGGATATCATTGCTGATGGGAGATGGATCTTGGCTGAAAGCAGAGAATACCAGAAGATGTTTACCTGTTTTTTATTGACTATGCAAAGGCATTTGACTGTGTGGATCACAACAAATTATGGGTAACACTGGGAAGAATGGGAATTCCAGAACAGTTAATTGTGCTCATGCGGAACCTGTACATAGACCAAGAGGCAGTTGTTCCAACAGAGCAAGGGGATACTGCATGGTTTAAAATCATGACAAGTGTGAGTCAGGGTTGTATCCCTTCACCATACTTTTCAATCTGTATGCTGAGCAAATAATCTGAGAAGTTGGGCTATATGAGGAAGAATGTGGCGTCAGGATTGGTGAAGACTCATTATCAACCTGCAATATGTTTGTGGCACAATCTTGCTTGCTGAAAGTGAAGAGGACTTGAAGCACTTACTGATGAAGATCAAAGACTGTTGCCTTCAGTATGGATTATACCTTAACATAAAGAAAACAAAAATCCCCACAACTGAACCAATAAGCATCATCATGATAAACAGAGGAAAGACTGACGTTGTCAAGGACTTCATCTTACTTGGATCCACAATCAATGCCCATGGAAGCAGCAGTCAGGAAATCAAACAATGTATTGCATTGGGCAAATGTGCTACAGAAGACTTCTTTAAAGAGTTAAAAAGCAAAGATGTCACTTTGAGGACTAAGGTGCGCCTGACCCGAGATGGTATTTTCAATCACCTTGTATACATGCAAAAGCTGGACAATAATTAAAGAAGTTGGAAGAAGAATTGATGCCTTTGAATTATGGTATTGCGAAGAATATTGAATATACCGTGGACGGTCAGAAGAACGAACAAGTCTGTCTTGGAAGAAATACAGCCAGAATGCTCCTCAGAAGTGAAGATGGCAAGACTTCATCTCATGTACTTTGGACATGTTATCAAGATGGACTAGTTCCTGAGAAGGACATCATGCTTGGTAAAACAGAAGGTCAGCGAAAAAGAGGAAGACCCTCGAGAAGATGGATTGACACAATGGCTACAGTGGGCTCAAACATAGCAACGATGGTGAGGATGGTGCAGGACCGGGCAGTGTTTCATTCTGTTGTACCTAAGGTAACTGTGAGTCGAAACCTATTCGACAGCACCTAACAACAACAATAACGCAAAAAAAAAAAAAAAAAAGAGATATCCGACTTACGTCGGAAGTGACTTATGAGGGAGTCATCAAAGCAAACCCTGTCATAAGTTGGGTACTACCTGTACTGCTTCTTCACACAGGCCTTTCCTGGCTTCTCCCTAAAGCACCTGCCTGCCAACTATGCTTCAGCCGCTACTGAAGTTTCTTCCCTGCCTAAAATTAGCCTGTTTGCTGGTTTATTTATCTGTGTTACTTGTTTACGGTCAGCAGTTGAAATCCACCAGCCACTCCTTGGAAACCCTATGGGGCAGTTTTACTCTGTCCTTAGGGTCACTATGAGTCAGAATTGACTCGATGGCAATGGATTTTTTTGGTTTTACTTGTTTATCACCTCTTTCCTCCAACCAGAATGTACATTCCCTGAGGGCAGAAGTTTTGTTCATGTCCTTATCCTCAGTGCCTAGAACAGGGCCTGCTGGAGGGGACCAATATGTACCTGTTGAATAAACGAAAGATGAAATGACTATGTGCAAGTGCTATCCTCTGTTTTTCACATAAAAAACTGCAATCTAAATCAGTTTGTGGGACTTCTCAAAGTTGTGTCAACCAGGCTGAGATTTTCTCTGAAGCTGGACAGCATTGGGGGTGCTCTTAGATTATTTCTTCCTTCCTACTAGTTGTGCTCAAGAATTTGATGGGGTATGGGTAGGAAGCTGCCTTCTTTATTACATTACTCTCCATTAGCAAATCATAGGAACATAAAATGCCAGACGGTAAAGAGGTCTGTGAAGAAATCCAGACGAGCTGTCTCTTTTTACAAATGAGGAGCAAGTGCACCCAAGGTGATAAAATGACTTGCCATAGATTATACAGTGAAATAGAGACTAGCTAGAACTGAAATTTTTTTTTTTAACTTCCAATATTTGCCTCTGATAATTCTTCATGGTATTGCTATTTTGGTTATTTCATAATTATTTATACTAACTCAGCTGGGGAGAGTATGGATAATGTCCCCCTAAAGAAAACCCAACACTTTCTATTTGGAGACCTAGTCATAGATGACCTGTACTTTTCACTTGTGGCTCCAGAAGTATCTGTGGATTTTGCATCTGTTCTCCATCTTTTTTTCTTATCAAGACAAGTAACAAGAGATTAGACAGGCCACTTAGTGGTTTCTCCTCTTTTCCTTGCCATCTTGTGGAACCATGAATGAAAAGTGTAGGGGGCAAAGGGCAGAAGGCAGAAATAAATAATGTGAAAGTTGAAAGCCTGGGTCATTACAACCTGGGACCTCAGATCCTTGGTTGGTAGAAGTTGACCTTTTACTTGTAACTCCAGGGTTCTTCATTTGTAAGAACAGATGCTGTTATCAGCTTCTAAAAGAAATCTACTAGACAGGATGGTTTTGTTTGTTTTGTTTTGTTTTTGAGCCTGTTTGGGAGGCTGAGTAGTGAGATGGTCAGCAGAATTGGTGGTAAGGTCAGACAGATCTGTGTTTAAATTCCATTTCCACTTATTAACTGTATGACTTGGGCAACTTACCTAATCACCGAGATGCAGGTTCTCCATCAGTGGTCATTATAATGCCTACCTCATAGAGTTTTGTGTGGATGCAATTAAAAGTAACTGAGGTCATATAAACACCACTTACCTGAATAAGAGCTCAATAAATAATAGTTGTTATTACTAAAAATCCTGTTAATTATTTGTACTTTCTGTCTTTGACATAATAGGGTTCCGCGGATAATTGGAAAAACCCAAGAGTTGGTTCTCTGTTCCTGAAGCCCAAACGGATACATACCTACAAGCCAAGGGAACCAGTATTTTGCCATCCGTCCATCCATCTGCATGTCCCAGGGATGTACCAACAAACAGCAGTTGAGTCTTTCAGCCGCCTTCAAAGAAGCAATGAAGCAGAGGGTTATTTGGATGACCTAGCACCTACCAGGTATTGTTTTAGGGAAACTGCTTTTCTCTGGGTCTATATTGATCTGGTGGCATAGTGTTTAAGAGCTCAGCTGCTAACCAAAATGTCAGCAGTTCAAATCCACCAGCTGCTCCTTGGAAACCCTATGGGGCAGTTCTACTCTGTCCTATAGAGTCGTTCTGAGTCGGAACTGACTGGACGATGCATAACAACAACAATATTGATCTGAGGAGCCCTGGTGGTGCAGTGTGTAGGAGCTTGGCTGCTAACCAAAAGGTCAGCAGTTTGAATCCACCAGTCACTCCTTGGAAACCCTATGGGTTCTATTCTGTCCTATAGGGTCGCTATGAGTCAGAATCGACTTGATGGCAACAGGTTTGGTTTTGGTTTTATGTTGATCTGAATAAATAAAATAAAAATTTTTTCAAGTTTTTTCTTACTCCATATGAAACAGTCATTGATAAACTCTGCTGCTGCTTGGGAAAGAAAAAAAGACACTTATAATTAATAAAGGAGATTGGTGGATTTACCCTTGAAGTAGATGGTTTAAAATATTGATTGGCAAAACAATTCATAGGGAACAAGCATTTTGGTCAAGAGCAAAATGCTCAGGGACTAATCCTACACCTCAGATATAGAGGAAATTTTCACTGCTGACTCAAGCTTGACCCACTCCCTCAAAAGGACTGCTTGAATTGTATCCTTGGAATCAGGACCTGAGTGTTCTTTCCTTTCCCCCATTTGGAAACCTCAGGAGGAGGAGAGTAGAGAAGTGATGGACTGGGAGGCAGGGGCTCAGGGCTGGGCTGCGGCAGGGTGGCCTGACCTGGGTCCAAAGGCACTCACAAAGCCCCAGGAGCCCAGCTGAGTCCCTGCTGCCTGCTGTGAATGAGATGATCTTGGAGAGGAAAGAGCTCTCAATACCTCAGCCAGTCAGGTACTGAGCTGAATGTCATGGGCAAACCTGCTCTAGGGCCTGCTGGGAAATGAAAATACCATCTGGATGGAATGACCTATATTCAACAAAATGTTTAATTAAAAAAATCCCCCTCAGCAGGCATTGAATATTAGTGGGTATCCAGGTTCAAAACAGACAGCATTTCCTTTCAAAATATATTGGGGTGCTGGAGTAACTCACCCTATCCCCACATACATCAGCAAGGGAAATATTTGGGCTAACCAAGCTGCTACAGTGTGGCTTGTGTACATAAGTGCTTTTAAAATGGAGAAATTTCTGGGGCAACGGGATTCTGGAAGTGGCAGGCAAAGGGTATGTGGAAGGAAGACTTCAGTGGATTCTGGGGAGCAGAAGAGATACAAACCTTTTGAAGAGAGAAGAGCTATTTGGGATCTGATAATACATCTGAAAAACTATCCCATTTTTTGGAATGGTTTGGCCTGGGCAAAGGCACATGATGGTGGTATCTCAATGGGATTTGACTCCTCATTCGGATAAAACTTTATTCTATGTGCTTATTTCTATTTAATTCAAATCAACTTATATATATATATGTATATGTGTATATATATATATATATATATATATATATATATATATATTATTGTGCATTAGGTGAAAGTTTCCAGAGCAAATTAGATTCCCATTCAGTAGTTTGTACATACAGTTTTTCATGGCCTTGGCTTCATTCCCCACAATTTGTCAGCACTCTCCCCATTTCTACCCTGGTTTCCCCATTTCCTTTTGTCCTGATTTTCTACTGCTTCCTGCCTTCTCATCTTTGCTTTTGGGCAAGTATTGCCCTTTGATCTTGTATAATTGATTGTTCTAAGGAACATGTTCCTCTTGGGTGTTATTGTTTATTTTATGGGTTTGTCTCTTGTTTGGTTAGAAGGTGGTCTCTGGGAACAGCTTCAGTTCCAGGACAGAAGGGTGTCTTAGGGCCATAGTGTCAGGGGTTGCTCCAGTCTCTGTCAGACCACGAAGTCTTGTCTTTTTTGTGAATTTGATTTTTTTGTTCTACAATTTTCTCCCATTCTCTCCGGAACCCTCTGTTGTCATCCCAGTCAGAGCAGTCAGTAGTGGTACCTGGGCACTATCTAGTTCTTCTGGTCTTTGGCTGTGGTTATGTGGTCCATTAGTGCTTTGGACTAATTGCTCCCTTGAGTCTTTGTTTTTTTTTCACTCTTCTTTACTCCAGACTGGAAGAGACCGACAGCTGTGTCTTAGATGGCTGCTTGTAAGCTTTTAAGACCCCAGACACTACTCACCAAAGTAGGTTGTAGAACATTGTCTTTATGAACTATATTGTGCCAATTGACATAGATGTCCCCTGAGTCTATAGTTCTTTGCCTTTGAGCCTATGAACTTCATCCCACGAGGTGTTTGGTTATGTCTAGAAAGTTTCCCTGACTGTGCTACTTTTATGCTTTGTTGTCTATATTAATATGGAGGAGCACCTACAGTCATGTATTCAGAAATATCCACCACTGTCTTAGGCTGGATTCTCTAGAGAATTAAAACCAGTGCAGTATATAAATATATACAGAAAGAGATTTATATAAAGGAAATGGCTCACGCCGTTGTAGAGGCTGGAAAGTCTCAAGTCTGTGGGTCAGACTGGAGGCTTCTCCTGAGTCACGTAGCCGCAGGTGCTGGAGAATCCAAGATCTGAAGATCAGATAGGAGGCCTCTGGCTCAGCCTGTGGAGGCCAACGAATTCCAAGATTGGCAAGTAAGACAGCAGGTAAGATACTAGCTCAAGGCCCAAGAACTGGAGGTCTGAGGAACAGGAATCAGCTCCAGGACCCAGAGGAAGCAAAAGCCAGTGAGCCTTGCCAGAAATTCCACCTATATTGGATGAAGGCCACACTCTCAAAGAAACCCCCTTTCAACTGATTGGCTGCTCACAACAGATCTCATCATGGAGGTGATCACGTTATATCAGATGCCATTATGGAGGTGATTACATCTTTAAAAAGCCAAACTACATCATAACTGCCAAACCACTGAGAATCATGGCCCAGCCAAGTTGACATGCAACTTTAACCATCACAGTCCACCCCTTGTCAACTTGGCACCTGTACAGGTCTCCTTAAACCATACATAATCTCTGAATAAAGACAATTATAAAGTCATACTTGTACCTAACATGATGCAACTAACATGCTTACAACCAAAAACACACTAGCCCTGTTTACATCTTATATTTTATAAGAAAACAAAAATATTTGATATACACATATAAGGAAGAAATACTCATAACAAGTACAGTCCTCATTTCTGCAACTGGTCACGTGGTCGTAACTGGTATTTAGAACTACCTTCTTCCACTACCCATTCTGTGTTCCCTTTGCCCTCAGCAAGCACCTAAGCTGGTCATGGTTCTTTGCCTGGTGGGGTGACCCAAACCATCATTCCTGAAGGGTCTGGGCCATTAGTAGTCATGTAGAAATTGGCTTGCTGTAGTTTTCCATTGACTTTAATCACAGGACATGGTAGCAGTAAGAGATACCCTAAGGAATTTCCTGCATTCCAGACATACTCTTCTTTACCTCCATTATATAATATCAATCTGATTTCCTCTTGGTAATCAGGATCAACCACACCAGCCAATATGGTATCTCCCTTCTTTGACTGCTGATCAAGAGGCAGAAAGAGCCTGAAGTGGCCAGGTGACATTCTTAACTTCCAGTTCAGTGGAATCAGTGATGTGTCTCCAGGTGGGAGCATTCTTCCCTTTGGAACTAAGACCTCTAGACCTGCAGAGCATGGGGTCTCAAGGACAGGAAGCCAAACTTTTGCAAGTGGGTAACTAGGGGTAATAGTGTGTGGTACCACTCCCATTTCCACCCCTTGATTCCTGGACCCATGAATCCTGGGTCTGGGAGAAAGTATATACTGGATGCTGGTTTAGAGCATATACAGCCTTCTGGAGAACATTACCCCAACCCTGCAAGGTATTGCCACCTAGCTAATCCTGTAATTGTGTCTTTAGAAGGCATCCATTGTTCTATCAAGCCAGCTGCTTCAGGATGATGGGGAACATGGTAAGACTGGTGAGTTCCATGAGCACGGGCCTATTGCTGCACTTTATTTGCTGTGAAGTAAGTCCCTTGATCTGAGGTGGTGCTATGTGGGATACTGTCTTAGTCTGGGTTCTCTGGGGAAGCAAAATCAGTGCAGCATATAAGTATATATAGAGATTTATATAAAGGAAATGGCTCACACAGTTGTAGAGAATGGAAAGTCCTAAGTTCATAGGTCAGGCTGGAGGCTTCTCCTGACTGACATAGCCACAGGTTCTGATAAATCCAAGATTGGAAGGTTAGATAGCAGGCCTCTGCCTAATAGGCTGCAGAGGCTGATGAATCCCAAGATTGGCAGGCAGGTAAGCTGCTAGCTCAAGTCCCAAGCACCAGAGGTCAGATGAACAGGAGCCAGCTGCAGGATTCAGAGAGAGCAAAAGACAGCGAGCCTTGCCATAAAGTCCAACTATATTGGATGCAGGCCACATCTCCCAAGGAAAACTCCCGTTCAGCTGATTGGCTGCTTACAACAAATCTCATCATGGAGGTGACTACATCATTGAAATCCAGCCAAACTACACCATAACTTCCAAACCACTGAGGATCATGGCTCAGCCAAGTTGATACACAACCTTAACCATCACAGATAACATGACAGTGGATAAGGCATTCTCTAAGTCCATGGATGATGGTTTGGGGAGAAGCAGTGTGTTCAGGGAAGGCAAATCTGTATTCAGAGTAAGTATCTTTTCCAGTAAGAACAAAATGCTGTCCTTTCCATGTTGGAAGCAATCCAGTGTAATCAACCTGCCACTAGTTTGCTGGCTGATCACCTCAAAGAATGGTGCCATATTGGGGACTTGGTGTTGGTCTCTACTGCTGGCAGTTTGGGCACTCAGCAGTGGCTGTAGCCAAGTTGGTCTTGGTGACTGGAAGTCCATGT